TCTTTTGTTGATTTCACAGTACTGCTTTGGAAAACAAACCACGATAGTACACTTTTTATAGAAAAACGATACTCAGCCACACCTACTTCCAGGAATACATTTTTTCCAGAAATCGTAACAATTGAATTCTGATCAACAACCAAAAACAGTTGTTGTTCTCACTTATACTAAATAATGGTGATGTACAATTCCCACATTCCCGTCTATTAAAAGAAATGGTCTCGAAAAGGGAAGTGAAAAAAGAAACGAAATGAGTACATGATGCCATCGAACAAGAGAAATTTACACGAGATCGGAGAGAGAGAGGTACCTCATGCAGTAAACCTGTCGCGCACTTTCACTTCCAATTGCGAAACTGAAAACAATCATCTGGTGGCTGTTTCGGCTTCTTTATCAGTCTCAATCTCTCATCCTCCATCGCTTTATTCCCCAATCTCTCCATTTTTTTTTGCATTAGGCTGATTATCGGCAAAACTTTGAATCTCGCGAGGATTCTGGCAGATTACGAAAATAACTAGGATAGTACAGTTTGGAGGAACTCAACAGGAAAAAAATTATAGAAAAACAGATGCGGGTCTTCTGAAAGACGGAACTAATTGAGAACTGAGCAAAGAAATACTTTGTCCATCGTTCAAAAAACCTGCCGGATTACCAGAGAAAGAAAAGGAATTTGAAAAAAGCGTAAATGAAAGGTCGAATGGCAAACAGGCAAAAGCTTTTTTGCATTGATGACCTTCCTGTCGAGATTTCAGTAAACGATAAAGAGAAGCAGAATCACCGTCGACGTCGTCGTTGACGTCTTCTGTTTCATCTACTTGTTATTTAAAACAATGGGGGCCACACCAACCACCACACTGGAAAAGGTCTCTCTCCTATTCAAAAAAAAGAGGAGAACTGGTTGGATCGTGTCCCCATGACGTATGTTCTAGTTGAATGCAATTGTGACAGTTATGTAACCACCAAGTTGTGAAATGAATCAGAGGGCAGGAAATGAAACAAAAAGAAGAAGAAGTGATTGAATAGCAGGATTGAATTTTTTGTGGGTCAGGAATAAGAGGAACAAATCTATAGTAGGCGAGAAAGATGAAATTGAAATGTGTCTAGAATCTGATTATTGTTCGGTTTCATACATCAGTTGTATGATATCTGTAAAAAGCAGCATATGATGAGCACATTCCTTCTGTATTTTTTTAAAATTATGACAAAACTAACATTAATCCTGTAATGAAAGGGCCCCCTACACTGTCACGTTTGAGCTCAATTATCTTAATTCCTATGCAAAATATAGAAAAAATGTGTCAACTGATAAAACACTTCTGATAGGGCCCTTCTATTACAGGTTTCATAGTAAGTACAGAAGCTTCCATCCCAAAAACTATGACAGAATAAACATATGAAAAGTACATAATCTTCTTTTCTCTATGTATTAGGTTGGCGGGAAAGTCTTTGTCACTTTTTCAATAGTTTATTTCTCAAAGAAAAAATAACCGAATAATTAATTATATTGTCCATCATTATCAACAACATGTCTCCAACGTTCCCTCAATTTATGGATTCCATTGCGGTAGAATCCAGCCGGGCGTGAGGCAAAGTATTGTTTGAGTGCCGCTTCGACCGCTCCACGGGAATTGAAGCTTCTTCCTTCGAAGGCACGTGTCATATCGCCAATAACCAATAGTCGGAAGGAGCAAGATCAGGAGAATACGGGGGGTGAGGGAGAACATTCCATCCATATCCCATCAGCTCCTGCTTCACTTGTTTCGAAACATGTGGGCGAGCGTTATCATGTTGATAGTACACTTTCTTGTCTTTCAGGGCCGAACGGTCGACTGCTTTCTTGAGGTTTCGTAGTTGAGTAGTGTAGAGGTCTCCAGTTATTGTTTTGCCCTCGGGCAGAAGTTCCCAGTAGATGGGGCCGTCCACTCCCCACCACACAGAGAGCATAACTTTTTTCGGATGAAGGCCGGGTTTGGGGACATCCTGTGGGCTCTCTCCTTCTCCAACCCACTGGGATTTCCTGTGGTGATTATCGTAGAAGACCCACTTCTCATCTCCGGTTATTAGCCGGTCCAGCCATCGATCGCCCGCGTGGAGAGTGAGAAGAGTAATCGAATCGTCGACTCGGCGGTCAAGGTTGGCTTGAGTCAGGTGATGAGGTATGAATCGACCAAAAAGTTTTCTCATTCCAAGAGACTTCAAACCTTCAAGGACTGTGCTATGGTGAACTCCGAATGTGACAGCTAGTTCACGGCTAGATTGAAATGGATCCGATTGCAATGCGTGCTTCAGCTTGTCCAAATCCAACTCACGGGGTCTCCCAGAGCGATCCTTTTCATCGAGCGAGAAGTCATCTTTTTCGAAACGATGGAACCAATTGCGAATAGTATTGTAGTGAGGGGCATGTGTGTTGTACACATTCTTCAAGAAAGTTTCCGAATCCTTCATCGTGGTGTGAGATAGGAAGAGGTAAATCAAAACATGTCTGATGTGAATAGCAGTGGGAACAAACATATCGTTTCAATTACAGATGAGGAGCAGGGAAGGAAATGGGGACTTGTTTATATGGAAGGTTCTTATCACCTTGTTATTCACTAGAGTCGATATCATACACAGCCTCCATATACGAGAACAGTGATTAAACAAACAGAGTGACAAAGACTTTCCCGCCAACCTAATACTACGAATTTTGAAGTGCAAAAGAAAAGTTCATACGCATGAACTAATTCAAGAGCACAAGTTAAGGTCCCTGGAGTGGCCCCAAGGAAGGAACGACGCTCTTCTTCCCGCCTCCCCGCATAAATTTCGCAGATTATGCCATTTTCGAGTAGCTGACGAGGGGAACGAAGAAAAGGAGAGGAAAATCTAGATGAACATGAAGATAACAGAGGACATTAATTCGAGAAGGAAGAAAGCGAAGACGATAGTATCTTTTGGGTCTCGAAATGGCATTAGTCACACTTATTGCATAATGGGAATATAATGGATTCTGACACTCATGTTTCCATTTCCGGAATGCTTGGGAAAAAATGAAATACAAAGCACACTAAAAAAGACAACACAACAATAGTAATAAGAACTTTTAAAAAAGCTACAGGAACTTGTCTGGTCTCGTTTTGTTTCCGGAGCAGCCGATGACGACGTCTGCGAGGAGCCATGTTTATATATCAGAAATATCACAAGACAAAACAATTCTCACGATATGCCATAGTTGTCGCTGAAAACTGAAATGCAAAGTCGTATTTAAACACTTTTGTTCCTCTTTTTTCTTTAAAAAAGTAGACATTTTTTGATGTCCACAGATACTTGATATTAAGCAATCAGAACATAGCTAACTTTCTTAAAGAGGATTTTCAGCAGTTGTCTGAGATTAAAGGGGGACTCCGACCAAAAATTTTTATTGCATTAAAATGTTCGAAAAGTTGTCTATTTTCCCATTATTATAGCGAAAAAATTCGAAAAAAATCCGAAATCCGCGAAAAATACCGTTAAAAGCGAAAAATACCGTTAAAAGCGAAAAATTTTCAAAAAAAAGTTGCTAGGAGGGACGAGGATTTGAATTCCCGCGCAGTGAGAAACCTAGACCACGGCGCCTGACAGCCGTTTTTTTCAAGTGGCCGACAGTGGTTTTTCACGTTTTTTACCTGCCGGACATGAACACCGAAAAAATCCGGAAAAATTTCCATGTAAGAAAGGCTATGATGCCGTGGCCTAGGTTTCTCACTTTTTTTCAATGCCGTTTTTCGGGGATTTAGGATTTTTTTTGAATTTTTTCGCAATAATGTTAAGAAAATACATATTTTTGAAACATTTTAAGGCAATAAAAAAATTTTTCGGAGTCCCCCTTTAAAAAACGGTTGGAATTTTCCGTCCGGGAAAGAAATACATTCATTTTCAAGGAACAGGTCCTTTTTTTGGAACAGAATAGAAATCCAATCTGTAATTGTTTACATCTATCAATGCTAGATAAGTGCCAATTTTCTTTTAGTCTGTTTCATTAGATATTTTCCTGAGTGGTCGGGATTTCTGAATTCCGACTTCCGAGTTCAAAAGTCTCACTTCCTTACATATCCGATTTTTCATACTGTATTCAGTTAACCCCAATTTATAACTTCAGCCTTTCTTCTGAATTTTGGTGTCCCATCAAATAGAAAATGTGTCATTCTCTCTGAATTTCTCTGCTTATTTTCAGAAAGTGTTCTGTAAAAATACGACAAATCATAGCTTTTCAGCGAGATTGAGATTTTCAATCTTTTTCCAGGCTCATTTTCATTTTCACCTGTTTTTGTGCCGGTTTCGTCAAAATGATTACCAACTCCTTTCTCACTATCTCAATTCTCAGCTTTCCGAATTTAGACTCTTTTTTCCAACTCTCCGAGGTCAGGAGGCGTTTGAGAACAAAAGAATAAGAAGAGAGACTATCTGAAATATTCATATTTAGGAGCAAAAACTGATCTTGGTCATCTTTCCCGGGGAAGAAAAAATAATCAAATGGGGTTGGTTTAGTAATCCCAAAAAAATTCCTCATTTTTTTAGCGGAATCTGAGCTTTATTAAAAATTCTTGATGTGTTTGCTCAAAAGAGGAAATTCATCAGAATAAATAATTATGGTAATTGCCAGAAGGCGTCTTCTTATTTCCTTTTTTCAACCCATACTGCTTTATCCTGTTGCTTTTGCTCCTTTTGAAATCCAATCTCATCGTATTTTACCACCTACTGGCTGTTTGCTTTTCACATTTTTTTCATTTCAATCTAAATAACTTTCAAAAATTTTCAATTCGCTCTTCGGAAGCATCAATACATTTTTACACTTTGCTAATGTCAATTGAAGCTTCTAGTTCTTTTAATAAGTTCACACCAAATTCAATTTTCTAATGCGATTAGCAAAATACATATAAGTGTGGTTGTTGTTTTTTAATGTGTTGTGTTTTCAATGTTTCCTCAGGGGTGGTATAAAAACAAACAAAGTTCGAACTGTTTCAGGTCAGATTTCGCTCCTCAAAATGGCTGCAGAATTCCTCTTTCTCTTATCCACAATCCCTGTTGTTTTATCAGCTATCGTCCCATTGCCGAACCCTCCAAATCCTATTCCAGAGCCTCCAACGGTAGTCTGCCATTTGAAATACTGAAAATCAAGATAACATTTTCAGGTGGACACCTTTCCATCTCTGACATCTGAAAAACAAACGCCGATAGCTCTCGATATCACGTCATCAGCTGATCAACAAGAAAACGAAAGAAAAGTGTCAAGAAATAGAGTCAGACTGCACTCTCATAATTCGAAAATTTCAAAATTATCAAGAACGCGAGAAGTGGAGGTTTTAAGTGAGAAATGCAACGACGATGAGCTACAACAGATTATGCAAGATGTAGGTAGAATGTATGGGAATCCGTCTATAAAAATGCTTTGTTCAGGCAATGACTCCCAGTTTGAGCACTTCCAAAATGGTCATATCAGAACGAGCCGCCCGAGATTTTGGGGCAAATTTTGATGTTATTTGTGCTAGAGGACACTTTTCGTACTACGTGGAAGCAGAGTCTTATTGTGAAGTCACACTGAACGACATCACCTGTCTTGCCTTCAAGCCAACATCTGAAAATTCTGAATCCAAACAAGAAACCACCGATTTTGCAAATATCAGAGAGCAACTAAATGGAAAACTGCGAGAAAAGGGAGAGGATGAGGCGAAACTAAACCGATAAACCCTTCTCATGGTCATCCTTCTTGAATCGAGTATCCTCTATCTTTCTTCCCCTGCGTTATCTTTCTTTTATGCCGATAAATAAACAAATTAGCAACTTTGTCACTAAGATGTTACATACAAAGCCACCACAAACCGGTATCGATATGATAACAATAAAACTGGTAGTTTCGTAACCAGTCGGGTTAGAGAATGGGTATATCAAGTGGCTAGTTGGCATAGTTATCGAGATATCAGCATGACGATAAGTTGGCTTTTAGCCGTCGTTCTCCTGTCTTCTGTGAATGCGTCACCGCCGATGTGCCACTGTCCGAATGGACAAGTTGGAAGTGAGTTTTTTTTTAATCTTGGGAGAAAAGATTTAAGAGTTTATAGTAAAACAGGCACACATATTCTTTCTTAAGCATTATGTGTAGCTTAGTTTCTTTCTTCATGAAGTGATATTTGGATAAGTATTTTTTATTTATTTCAGTGCAATGTCCGGCTCCAATAAACTTCAACTGTCCTCCGCAAGCGCCATGCCCAGCTTCTCCCCCATGCAACATGTTCGGTGGACTTCAACCTCTTCCCACCATGGCTCCGCAACAGTTCCCAGTATTTCATTTCCCCTTTTTAATTCCTATCTTTTTATTTTCCAGACTTTCGCCCCATTCACCTTGTCTCCACTACCAGGATCACCGCCGGGTGCTTCAGGACCCGCACTCCTACCACCAGCGGTTTCGCCACCAACCAATGGACAAGAGACTCTTGTTGGAATCAACAATCAAAATCAGCCACCACCACCACCCGTCCAATATAATCAAGGCCCACAATTTGTGGAAGCTCCACCACCTCCACCTCCACCACCTCCACCACCGCCGCCGCCACCGCCGCCACTACAGCAACAACAGATTCCTGTTCAGGATGCAACCACTCTTCGTCCATCTACTCTTCCAAGTGAAACGTTTGTACTAGAAAAATGTAGTTTACTAATGCTCCAGAGTTTTCAGATATGTTGAACTAGAGAACCCAGAAGCCATCATAAACGAAAACGCCGCACAAGTTCAAAAGAATCCAGAAGAAGCTAGAAACAATGTTGAGAAGGTCACGGATGAGCCACCACCACCAGTTCTTCAGAATAAGGTCGAAAGAGTATTCGAGTCAGAACCAAATAGTACGCGATGCCCGGACCCTTTTCCAATATCTTAAATTATCCGTTCCAGATGGTTATCGTCAACCAGTCCGACGTCAAGCACCGCCACTCAACGATAAGTGTAACGATGACCGTCTTCGCAGAATCATTGAATCCAACGTGGATGACAATCCATCCACTTCCAAGAGAAAGATCCAGAAAGCAGCTACCGAGGAGATCGGTGGGCTTTTCGACGTCATCTGCTCAGCACACGACTTCTCATACCTTGCTAACACCCAGCTATTCTGTGAATCTGGAAACGACGATGTCACCTGCTTCGCATTTTTGCACTCCCTCATTCAGTAATTTTAACTTGCTTAATTTATTTTTATTTGTGCAATGTGCAATAAATCGCATTTTTATAAGCTTTATTTTTATAAATAATAAAAACTAAAACTACGGATCGGAGATCACTTTTCATTTTGAAATCACATTTTATCAAAAGATTGAGCAAGAATCTCAAAATCACGATTAGTCGGTTGTGGTGCAGCTTCTGACTAACTCCTTTGCAGTTAACTTTGCCACATTCTTCCGACACAAACTATGTCTCTCATTCAACGCGTTTCGGTCAATAGTGATGTCAGTAGAGTTGATGATATCAATACAATCGGCAAGAAGTTGAGATCGGTTTGAATTCCAAAGGAACACTTGTAGGACATTGTCATCCAGGTGATCACTATCCTTCATTTCAGCACTCTCGGCGCTTTTCCAAGACACTCGCATGTAGCTTTCTCTGTAAACAAAACGCTGGTTAAAAAAGAAATTCTAGATAAACGGGCGATACCTTCTCAAAATATTAGTCTGGTGTATCAAGACGCCTTCACCAGATGGAAAGTTTATCACCAAGTGGTAGTTGTTGTCGATGGCAGATGTCTGAAATTTCCAAACAGCTATAGTCTCTCCTTCCAAAGGAATCTCTCACATCTTCTCGTTGTGGTCCTAGTTGGGCAGTCAACGCCAAGACTTCCCATGGATTACTCTGCGGAAGCGCATAAAGAAGTCGAGCTGTTTCACTATCGGGCTCGAGGCCAAATCCAAGGAAGAATATCTCGTTGTGATCTTTATAATATCCCCGGATGAAGATCAAACCAAGATACGATGTTGGAAATATGCTTTTGATCACCTAAATAAATCGTTGTTTATGGAAAGCCGAGTAAAAATTATATATATACCTGAATACAAAACGATTCGAGCCCCGGGAAAATATCTCTTGTCTGATTGGCAGACAAATACTCTAGAGCATAGGGTTGTTGGTTTTGAATACACTCCAAAACTGAACGATGGGTTTCGATTGCAGAAATACAACCTGAATTGTACTAGTATTAGTTGGCCCTCTAATAACATTAATACCAAGAATTCCATCAGCTGAAGAGCAGACAGCATTGAACTCATGTCCATCATCTACGTACTCTTGTACCACATAATGTTCGTTGCGATGGACACTTGAGTTTCGCTGAAACTAAACTGAACAGTGTAGAGCTAGAAGCATACTCTGTAACTGACTCTGAACCAATTCTTGAATTCGTTTTCATTTCGAATGAATCCCACGGAATGAGCACAGTGATGACGTAGAGGGCGAACAACTGCTGGGAACCCGCCAATCTAAAATCTTATTTTTCTTGATGACTATAATTTCAAGAATGCAATACCTGATTCCTGACTGCTTCAGCCCATGAATCAGGTTGTGGTGTTCCGGACAACGAGCACTGTCTCAGACTGATTGCCGCTAATCCGTTTCTCATTGTAATTGCTTCTTCCGCATGAACGAAATGCAAAAGTTGTTCCGGTCTGAATCCATCCACTTCCATATCCCTTCGGATTTGTGCAATCGGACGTTGAAGGGACCTTTCAAAAACTACTAATTTCGGGTTCTTTGACGAGAAAATTGAACAGAGCTCGCGAACTTTATGCATCAACAGGCAGTGGTCGTGGTCACGGATCGGAGGTTCCACTTGATAGTAGACATCCACACTGAAATATTTTCAGGTTAATAATTAGTTGTTCCAAAAATAGATTCCAGAAAATCTTTTAAAAATCACTTAGTCTCATCCACCAACATCCGTGGAGGCGCCACGACAATAATCTTGACATCATCTCTTCGCTTCCATTGGTACAAACTCAAACGGTACTTCCATAGAACAATGATGATGACATGTTCAGAAGAAGACCCCACCGATGTCATACCCCTTGACCAGAGTCCTAAAAGTATAAATGAGAGGGGCGGGAGGAGGGGATCAGCAAAAATGTGTCGGACGTTTTTAATTAAGGAAATAAAAAGCAATAGAAAAGAAGGAGCAAGGAAAAGAAAGAGAAGCGTCGATAGGGATAGATGAGGCTCGATTTTTTTTGCATTGCAAAACGAAAAACGTACGTTTTTCGTCGCTTTTCTTTTTTTTTCGTTTTCCCATAAATTATAAATAGAAAAACGGATGAAAGATGTTTTGGGCGCCAAAATACAGAGGTGAGAGCATTTGGAAGAAAATATATATTAACTCAATTCCATTTATATAGGGAAAAAAGCTAAAAAATGAAACAAAAAAGGAAAGGAGAATAGACTCTGGTTAATTGAGTATTAACAAAACAGAGAGGACGGGGCAAAACAGAAAGAGAAAAAAATAGAGAAAAAAAGGAGGTCTGTTTGTGAGAGATGCAAAAAATAGTAAAAATGAGTGTAAGAAAACAACAAAACGATTTGTTGTCTTATCACTCTTTTTCGGTTATTTGGCTATAGCAGGTGTTTACGTATGAGAGAGTCAAGTCTAGAAGAAGAAGAAATTTAATATGCTCATTTCCGATGCATTTTCCTTAAGGAATCCAGAAAGAGACACTTTCAAAAACACTTCTGTCTTTGGAAATATAGGGCGTGTTTTAATATCTCAATTGTTAGTTCAAATCTCTTGTATTCGATTTCCGTCACAGACTGAGTAATACGAATAATACAAATACACCAGATTATATGATCGAATGCTTTTGATTCCTACACAAAGAGTGTCGGTCAGCAGTTCCCATGGAAGTTCCCATAAAGTTCCGCTTGAAGGGAAAAAATCTGGATTCGTAAGAAAAAATAAATGTATACGAGCTCAACGGCGGAGGCGAAATAAGTCTTCTAAATAAATATAAATAGATCCGTCGGGGGATTTGTATTTTTGTTTTTTTTTCGAATCTATATTTCCAGAGTAAGAAAAAAAAGAAGACATCTTCTTTTGAGTAACTGATAAAACCGGGAGTTATTCGAAAAACATATTTTGACATTAGGACTCTCTCAAGGAGATAGAAGATGTCAAAATGAAAAAAAGAATAGACGAAGACAAGGGAGAAAATAAGCAAAATGAGACGAGATGGACGTGTGGGCGACAAATAATGAAGTGGTCTCGGGAGGGATCTGGATAGGGAGGGAAAAGAAGAAGTGAACGAGCATTCAGTTGGAATAACAATATTTCATTAGATACCACACGACTTCTTCTTGCGCCGGTCAGGAAGAAAAAGAAGAAGAAGAAGAAGAAGAAGAAGAAGATTATCAGATTAACTGACTCCGAACATTGAAGGAATTTTAGTTGACTTGAAAAAGACGACGGAAGGAAGGAAGAAGAAAAGCAGTAACTCAAGGGACTCGTTAAGAATAATGGGATCAAGAATGTGAGAAGAAGAGGAAGGCGTGCTGCTGGAAGGGTTGATTGACATGAAAAAGGATTTGATTTGGAAGGATAAGAAGAAGCAAGGTCAAACAACACTTGATGTCATTTGTGGGGATATCCATAAGTTGGAAGGTCTAACATAAGAGAGCTCAGACTATAAAAAATTGAAATTGGTTGCACAGCTTTTGGTAAGCCCCATCAAGAAAAATATCAAGAATTCATACTTTTTGGAACAAAAAAGGCCTGCATTTCTTATAACTCAAAACTTAGAAGTCAAAACTCAAAGGAAAAGAGTGCAAAAAAAAGTTTTTCCAGAAACTTTTTGACGAACGAACGGACATTTATCAAAAAACGGAAGTCTTCCATTTTCCCTGCTCTTTTTCCATAGAGCCGTGCTTCTTCTCTTCTCACAGCAACCAGAAGGAGAACGAAAAGAAGAAAAAGAAGAAGAAAAAGACAATTGAAATTCTGCGAGCGTGTATGTCACTTTTCGGGTCCACCCCGCCGGTTTTTCGAAACGAAGGACGGGTCCCTTTTCGCCTTCCAAAAACCGAGCGCTATAAACTCGAAAAGATATGGGCGGATGGGAAGCGGAAGCTGGAGGGATAGGAATGCGTAGGAGAGATGGACGGAAGGATGAATCTATCCTTAAAAGTGCAATAAAACATCGGTGAGCAGGATTCTGAAACAAGATGAGAAAAGGAAACAAAAGAATAGAGGTTTCTTGAAAATCGTGAAATAAGCCAAAATTCTAAAAAAGAAACTCGAACTGAAGAAGGAGTTCAGTGCAGGTGTAAATGGTTTCAATTCGGGATTTCTCGGAATCAGAAATTTGTTTAAAAACCCAAAGTATTTATGAATTTTGATAAAAACTATTGTCAAAATTCAAAAAATCAAATGGACCACACCAATAAACTTTATGAGGTTTTCTACAAATTAAGGCTTAAGCTCATTTTTTAAACGTTCGAACTCGATCTCTCTCTATTCGATGAACCAAAACGCAAGATCCTGAAAATAGAGAGTACCGTAGCCGGGAACTGGTTTTATGTTGGGGGCCACTATTAAATCCGACCAAACCCCGATAAACTTATGACAAGATTCCGACCGGCTAATAGCGACAGACATCAGCTACTATACGCTTCCCAGCTACCGTATTGCATGTCGCGCCTTGCCAAAATGACCCGCTATTAGCCATTTTGCAACGCTACCAGGTCAAAAATTCTCTGAGTAGTATTTCAACTTCCAACTTCCGACCACAATCTAACCATTTGCCGCTATACAGCGTCAGGAATCCTCGGACGTGCATTATTTAACTGATATCTTTCAAATTGCAATGCAGATGATTCAACTCATCCAGGTTTGTTATTTCCCCAAACTCAAAACGGTTGAGCCGTCAGTCAACAAATTTCTAATATCTTCCACAGGATTTGAGATAATTGAGCTCAAAGTTGGCGGCTGAGGGGTGGACTTATATTAAAGGAAGTACAGTATACCAACACCCTCTTGTGTTCGCCTTGATCTTCTTCTGAAAAAGAATATGATCGAAATTTCATATTTCAACAAGTTCGAATTTTTAACCTTTTCAGAAAATTCTACACAAAACCATATCGCCCATTTCTCTTATTTTCAAGTATGGTGAAATCACTTCTGATCAGTTTGCAAGCCGTAATACGACAATAAATGTGATTATGATTAATTATCCGAACGGGACAGAAAAAAACAGGAAGAAAATCGAAAAGGAACCAATTGTGCTCCGACTCTATGAAAAAATATGTTTGAATGCACACCGAATTGTGTATGTCTTGATTGCACAATGCAATCATATTCATAACATTTCGAGAACTCTCTTCTTTCTTAAGATTTTCCTGAAATCGTTTGATTTTAAAACTGTTTCAACAATCTTCTGAAAGATAAACCTCGAGTTTTGAATCAACGAATCCCATTATTTCAAATCTCAACCCACATAAAAAATTCATCAGTCATGAGTCAGATGCTTGTTTGGCATTCGAAGGGGGGACTTATTACAAGTCCTTTATTTCGTTACGTCGTCAATTATGATCTGCCGCCCAGACAACGTGCTCGGATCATTGTATTTGACTTGTCAACCTTCAACATTCCAGTTGAATTGAAATGTTTTGACTTTTAGATGTGTTGATTGTTTTTGTCTTTATTCGAAAACTTATCCCCCAAAATCCCAAGAAACGTCTGTCTAATGATCTAGGAACACCTCATTACAGATCAATCTCGTCAACTAAAAATCTCATTGTCCGTTCTCATTTTTTGAAATGTCTCCTTTGCTAGAAAGAGTTTTTGTCCTAAACCTCATTGAAAATATATGGCATTCCGCCATGTACTTTTTTTGGATAATTCGATAGAAGATTTTTTGGGTCAGAAAACGTTCTCTATTTTTCCCAATATTCATTTCAGTCATAGTCGTTCTGTTGAAATCTAGGTCCAAGTAACCTATTTTTCCATGAATTGTTTTCACTCTTTACTTTTTATTCCACACCAGACACACTTTAACTCGCTTTCATTGTAAAAGATTTGATCTGTTAATTTTTAAAAAAATTGGTATAAAAATTTGTTTTCGAAACTTACTCTCCTGATCAGTTTATGACTTCGATGATCTTGAAACGAAATCAAGTGGAACTCAAAAAGAGTTTGCAAACTATTTTCGGATGTTCCACTTGAAAGAGATGTTGGAGGTTCTTTCTATAAACTTTCTGAAATCATATTCCAATTAGAATTTTTTTTACCTTTCATAATAAAATATTGTAAACCTTTTCGAACTGTTTGTTTAAATATTTGTTAAATTGTCCAGATTTTCCGAACAATCATGCTTCGTTCCCGTTAAATTTAATACGACTTGTTTTTCTTTTTCCTAGAATTCGTTCCATTATACCACAGTCGTACAGCAATACAGAATATTGATTTTAGATGTCAGGACCCGACCCTTCATTGTTTTCTCTTCCTGACTCGGCTTCAGTATGTTTTATGAATACTTCGAAAAGGGTGGATCCCGCCAACCGAATTATTATTGGATCAAGTATCCTGACTTTTTCATTAATTTCCATCATTCTCAATGGTTCTGTAATTGTTGCGTTAGCACACAGTTGGAGCTCGTTTCGAAAGCAACCGTTTACTCAATTCGTTTTGAGTATGATCATCGCTGGAACAATATATACCATTGTCAATTTCTTTGTCTCAATACCATGCTCTTTTAATTATTGTCCATATCTACAGTAAGTCGCAAATGAGATAAATGCGGTGTAAATATCTTTGATGAGGGTCAATGAGTCAGTAAGCTTTAGACAAAATACCAAAATTTCATTATTACAAAAGTATCTAAAAATATACAATGAATCATCATTCTGATCTGAATCTTTTTTTTTTCCAGAGAGGACACTTTTCTCATGATTATGTCCCTTCCAAACACGCTGAGCTTCGCTGCATATCTTCTTGCCAATTTTGGATTTGCAATATATCGAACTTGTATTGTATTTGATCTCTTGCGATATTGTTTGAGAATCGTTCAAATGGTAAAATACTTTTGAAACATGAGAAATATACTTTGACGTTTTCAGGTCACCTTATACCTCCCTTGGATTCTAGCCATTTATACTGTAATCGATACAACATCTAGAGGATGTATAAAACGGTTCAATCGTTGGTTCATAGGATACACATACAACTGTTCTAGTTGTAATGTTTGGTGTGAGTAGAAACAAGCCACAAGAACAAGTTATCCTGTTTATTCCAGTTGGATTTAGCTTCATCGATGTAAACTTCTACGCAGGACAAGTTTTCCCATTCTTATGTGCATTATGTATGGAGTTATGATAGCCAACATCTACTGGAAAAAGACGCATAGCAATGGAAAGTCGAAAAAGTTTCAAGCATTTGATGTCAAATTGGTTAGTTCCTTTATATAACTTTTTCCATATTTATTTTCAAATTTCAGGCATTTCAATACCTTCTAGTCTGCTTGATTCAATATCTTGCTTCATTTCTCTTTTACATAGTACCAAAAGTTGGAAACGGAAGCCTGATTGCTCTAATTGCAATGAATATCATAGGTAAGAAAAATTTCGTAATTCTTATTTTTCATTCTCATGATATTTCTCAGGAGTCATAGACATGGGGCTTAATCCCCTCATTCTTCTTATTTTCAATGCAAGGATACGTTTCTCCACTGCACTTCTTTTTCAATTCATTCCCTGCTTACGAGTCAAACAAGCCAATTTGGTCAATGTGACGGTAGTTATGAAAAGAAGTACCTACTAGACTATAATCTGCTTTTGTTATTGTTTTCCATATCAGCCCCTTTTACGTGTCAAAGTCGTTCCTTGAAGTATTTGGTTTTTATGTCATTTGGGTTTTCTAGGAGCAAAATATCATTGTGAAATCAGTAGAGCATAATATCAAATGAAAAATATTTTATGATTTTTTTATAAATATATGATTTTTTTATAAATCAAAATGTGCAAAATGAGGCTTCATATAGCAACAAAGAAAACTTTTAAAGGAAAAAATTACAAACCCTCGAAGAATCGCTTATGGAAGTTTCTGGAAGGTTCTGGAATTGTTTTTGAATCCTCTCCAAAACTCGGAAAAATTAGAGAGGTTTTTGCGATTTTCGAAAGAAAATGTTATCATTTTCTTCGATTTTTGGAAAAATTTTAGACCTTTTTAGTTTTTTCATCTATTTTCACAGATTCTTTCTCGATTTTCGGTTTTTTGTCTGTAATTTGATGGAACGGTGTGAAGATTACTGTAGATTACTGTGGAAAACTAAGTACCTTGGCTTACTGTATTTTTCTCTTCGAACACATCCACGTCAAAATGCAGACAAAACTGTGAATGCGTTTGCAAAAAAACTACAAAAGGAAACTCATTTTCTACAGTAATATACAGTAAAAAGGTCTAAAAATCCCCCAGGCATCGAATAAAAAATCCTTCTAATTTTCGGAGTTCTCAGTTTTGGAGGAAATTCAAAAACAATTCCAGAACCGCCAGAAGTTTTCAGAAATGGACGAGAACTGAGATTTTTCGCTTTTCGAAGCGATTTTTCAAGGTTTTGTAAGTTTTCCTTTAAAAATTTTCTTAGTTGCAATATGAGCCTACATATTTTTTACACATTTTAATGCAATTAAAAAAGTAATTTTAGGCTAGGTTTCTCACTGCGCGACAGTTCAAATAGTAGAAATTTTTAGTCGGAGTCCGACTACAAACAAAACAATATGAATCGAAATATAATCTGTTACCAATCAGAAACAACAAAGAAAACAAGAACGAAATAAGAAATTCTGTCACTTGTATACATTTTCAATTCAATCTCCGCCTGATTAAACACATTCTCAAAAGGTGTAACTGCTCATTCTGGGATCTCGAAGAAGCCATTGTGTACGGATATGATGTCTCCTTTTCCACTTCTCTTCTTCCAACGGCTTCAACGAAAATTGTGTGTTCCAAGCAAAGTTGTTGGATTCTATTTTCTTACTTATTTTTTGCTTTCCCATTTTTTTCTTATTAGCTTTTCTCTAGTCGTCAACAAGATTTTTTTTTTCCATTCAGAATACAAATTTTCTTGACTACTTATTCCACTGATTTTATTGGTTTTTAGACAAATCATGCTCAAATGCCACCCAGGGTTCAGTGCAAAACTCGAAATTCTCAAATATGGGATTCAAGTAATATACTTTCTGCTGGGTCTCTTCTTCCACTTTGCTCTTCTCAAAGTTTTGACTCGCAAACGGGCTGTGTATTCGAAATTTGCGTTTTTGAAACTTTATTGTATTGATTCTGTCCTGGTGAGTTTTCCAAATACCGTAAAACCAGAAATAGAAGACCCCTTAACTTTCAACTTTGAACCCATGTTTCACATTCCCTGCAAAAGATATCAAAAAAGTGTCAGCTGACAAAACACTTCTGTTATTAATATGAAAATTTTATCAGTCGACTACTTTTTGATATCTTTGACAGAAACCGAGAAAAAATGGCTCGGGCGTAAAATACTGGGGTGGAACTCTATTAGAGTGCATAGTTAATCAGTACAAAACATTTTTTCAGAGTATTTTCATAATTTTCATAAATGTTGGATCTATTCGTATAATGAACTACATTCCACCTTTGTGTCCTTGGGCTATGAGACAGTATCCAGAACCTTCTCAATCGATATCTCTTTTATACATCGAACAATATCTCAAGTTTTCAAAATGCTTTATTTTCTGCTTCATGATGATCAACAGGGCGAACAGTGTCCTATGTCCAATGACATTTACGACGGTTCTTTATTTTCCAAAAACTTTGAAAACCTTCTACCATTCTAGATCCAGAGATGTATCATTCCTCACGTTGTAATATTCTCCATTCTGACTCCTTCTATCGGAGTCTGGACAGTTTTCTTATCTGAAAGTCAGTTTGTTCCTTTCCAAGGTGGATTCACTCCTGAGACCAAGATGGCTTACAATTGGGTAAGATCATTGAGTTTTTAGGTTGATTTTAATTCTCAAAATTTAGATAACCGTCTCTCAATTCTCGGTAATCATCTCATCGATAACAATTTGTGTAGCCGTGATATGCTCACTGATTTCTATGGTTTGCATGTCAAGGACTCGATCTGAAAACAAACACACTCAACAATCCTTAACAGCGTCTGCTCTTTGTCAGAGCATCTTCTATGTTCTCGTTCATTCAATGGAGATATACTTCCACAAATCCAAGCCATCTTCTTTAGAAACAGCAGAATTCTGGAACGCTCTGACAGCCTTCTCATTCGATATCCTCTTGGTTAGGTGAGTATATTCATTACAATGAATCCCAAAACTTGAAAACCAATATGAAAATTTTCAGCCCTCCAATTATAATGCTTTGTTTGAATGTCCGGCTTCGAGTGGACGTTTTTGTTGGAGATAGTGGAAATCCTTTGACTTCTCCAAAATAATTACCGAAATCACAGACATTCAAAACAACTGAATTTTTGTTCTATTCTTGAATTTCGATTACGCCATGTTGCGTGCAACTCAAAATTGATCTAGTTTATGGTACCTAAAAAGCGAGGGTGGGATTTCGTCTAGGTCTATACAATGGTCTCTTAAAATTCTGATATCACTTTTGATTATTTTTCGATATATTTGAAAATGAATCATCTTCTGGAATACACTGTTCAATGTTTTTTCTTGTTGTTATCACTGATTCTCTACATAGGAATTATTGTTGTGATTAGAAAATCTCCCAATGTCCGTTTGCGCTCATTTTACTCATTATACATTTTGGAATGTTCACTGGTAAGGTTATGAAAATATTATATTTAAAAAAGGTTCGCTAAATTTCCAGAACATTGTGTCAATTTTTACACTTTTGACTGTGAAGAAATCATTTATGTTAATGAATCCAACAACTTTGGATTGGTTCTCTTATTCGTCCTATCTACTAAACGTCGTCTGGATTCACGACTACATCCAACTATCAAAGTTTATTTCTCATTCTCTCCTGGCTGTGAATCGTGCTACATGTGTTACGATGCCTTTGAAGTACCCAACTGTATGGTCAAAATGGATACACTTTTCAGTTATTTTCACTATTCTGGCTCCACTTTGTGGCTTTTGGAATGTGCTTTTGACGAAAAGTTATTTTATATCTGATTTCATTTTAATGTCAGAAGAGGAAACTCATCTTCATATCTTCAAAGTTGTGATGTTCTGCATTATAATTTTCACGATAATTACCTCTTCGTTTGTTACGGTAATGGGAATTCTCAAAAAAGGAAAAAAAAAATCAACAAAACGGAGAAGAAATTATGTTTGACAACTTTTCTGACAACATTTAACGTTATTGGACTTGCTATTCTACAATTAATATCAGTTATGGTAGAAGGTAACTGGAAGCAACTTGCAGAATTTGCTTACAACTTATCATTGTGCATGTGAGTGAGAAAACAGCATATACGAAACAATAAATATGATTATAGAGATCCATTAACCAAGTCCTTAGCGAATAGCTCATTGAGAACGAAGATTTTTGGATGTGCAGAAGCAACAGGAAACTGAAAACAGTTGCTCATAACATGATTCCAATTGAAGATGCCATGAAAAACAAAGTGTTTTATAAACGAACAAATTAGTTCGATAAATATTGATGTTGCTGAATTTTATAAAAATCTAGTTAACTAGTTCCTACTAGTAGGCTTACTGGACGTCTTCGATTACTTTGTTTAATATATTGCTTACTACTGTATTCTCTTCTCTTCCCTACGTTGTCTACATAAAACAATTAATAAGTTTTTAATATTTTCTTTCCTTAATTCAGCTTATCAAATTCCATTTTCTCTCCAGAATATGCGATGCGAGTCTGCTTTCAACATGTTTTGCCGGTACCAGATTCGATATTCCATTTCGCCGCGAAAATTTTGAACAACAAGATTTTGAAAAACAAAATTTTTCTGCATTTTTTTTCTACTTTATCAGGTTTACAGTTCATCTATTACTTCATATTTCCAGATATCCGCGTATCTTTCGTCTTTCAGAATCAACGTCATTTTTGTGTGAATCCCAAATGTCCAGGAAATCGTCGAGTGCATGCAATAGTGCAAAATCCCAAAAAGATAAGACACTTCAAGTGACTTTTTGTGATTCAAAATGGAGCCCCGATTCCATTACTCCCTACAATGTGCTTCAGTATTTTTGCAATCTTGAAAACCCGTTTTACGATATTGAATCGGACAACGAGTTTTATAAAATGCAGAACAATCGCGGAACGGGACTTAAAAGCATGACTGGAATTCAATACAAATTGTGGTATTCGTGTATGCCGCTTCACATAATCTACAAATACTATCGAACGTCTTCCGATACAGGTTTGGTATCAGAATTAATTCTAATAAAATTTTACAAATCATTTAGTTAAACCACTCGCTTATTACAACATCATCAATGGTGTCGTCTATCAGGCACCCGACATGTACAGCCTCACTCAATCCCGCTTGCTCGGATGTCTTGAACCGCTTCAAAATGCATTTGAACAAGTCACCAAATCCTGTCAGTACAGTACGGTCGAAGGATATTACTGGGAGTTCAAGAAAACCGCAAATGCGAAATATTATGCGAGATATGCGAGATATACCAAAACCAAAAGAGTCAGCCAGGTTAGTCTTTACTTTTCTTCTTTTTTCGTTCAAATGTTTTTTTTTTCAGAAAGAGGAAAAAGAAGAGACGCTAGAGCCTCGAAGCACAAGTTTTCAAAGAGAGCGAACATTAATGGTTTTGAATCAACTTTTCGAAGAATATCCGATCAACGAAGCTATCGAAATGGACCCAGAGGAGGAAGCTAACGTTCAGGAACATCGTGCTAATTCACCGAGGTTCGCGGTACCAACTTTAAGCAAAAAAGCTGCTTCGTCTAAATGATTCATTATGATTTCTTGTGCAATTTCAGTATAATATACTGCGTTCATCATTTCGTGTATATAGATTTTATTCGCTCAACTATTTTTAAAATAAAGTTTGACTCTTTTTGAATAAACGCTGAAAACCTTCGGAGGTGTGCGCGCACACGAGTTTCGAGTTTCGTTAAACAAGGCGCACTACGACACTCCGACATTCCGATAACTTTTTCGCCAATTTTGGGTGCCGTTTTCTTTGCAACCGGCGCAGAGTTTTGAATTAAATTCAGTGTCTCAAAACGATTGAAAAACGACATTTTTCCGAAACTTTATTGATTTCGTTAAGCTTTAAAAATTTTTGATCGTTTTGAGCATGGCGGATAAGAAGGTAGGTCGGCAAGCGCCTGCCCTCGGATATTAACGATATCACATCTATGAGCCATAGTTTTGTTCCAATTTAATTGTTAATAATTTTCAGGATTATGCAGCCATCGTCGAACTCGAGAAGCAAATCGCCGACAATGCGTCAAACTTTCAAAAATGGAAAAATGCGAATGCGTAAGTTTGGAATGAAGAATGCGTTCAAAGCAATAGTTTTTTTCAGATTACAAAGAGGATCGGTAGAGTACAATGATGGTGTCACACGATTCACAGATTGGGACCGAGATCTACGAGCGAGGCTTGCAGCTCATCAAGGAATAAATGTCGAATCAGGTCCGAAAAGTATTGACGCAGTGCTCGACGAACTTCTTGACAAAGTTGACTTGACGGGTTTTGCACAAGCGATCCAAATCGCCAACACAGCAGATCCAACCTTCTATCCAAGTTTGAATCAAGGATTCCTAAACTTCAAGAGTAAGCTATTCTTTTTGGTTTCTTCTCTAATAATCGCTTCTGGCTACAGTGAAACCGACAAAACCTGTCTTCCAAATGACGAGGCCTCAATATTATCCGGCTTTTGGTAAGTGCATCATACAAATTCTGATGAAAAAATTACACCTTTCAGCATCTAGTCCATATGCCTATGCCGCTCCACAAGTTGCACCACCTACTGTACCAGTATTCAGAACCATCCCAAGCAACATTATCACACTCCAACGACCAGTTTCACCAGTCCGTGACTATCAGAAAAAGACTGGAGCACCATTCCGCGACTTCAGCGTCTGAAAGAAGAAAAGCCATGCATTCAATGATTTCACTGCTTCAATTGTCAATTTGAAATGTTCCGTTGATCTGTTTATATATCAAAAATCTCAAATGAAACTACTTATATCATTCGTCTTTCTTATCTGTCGTTTAACATGTCACTGGCTACATAAAACTGGTTTTTATCTTTGCTAGTTTACTGGCAAAATCTTGGACATATAGAAACACGTGGTTGTTTCTGAAATTCGAACGATAGCTGGTCATAAACTAAAAACCAACAAATTCTGGCAAGCGTGCGGCGGTCTTGCGAAAAGCGCGCGCGCTCATTGCAAACCAGCGCCCGTCTGGTCACGCCCACTTCTCGAATTGTTGCAATCCGGCTCAAACTGTCACTTGGTCTTTGCTCAAAGAGATTCAGACTCTCAAGACGAAGAAACAATTTTTTACTTTGAGAATTTTTTACAGGGTAACCAAAAATGCTAGGAAGACGCGCAGTATCAGTTCATCGGTTCCTCTCGATAACAGCGAGACAAGTGAGTCAATTTTAAAATATAAAATACTGGTTTCATTCAAATCAAGCTTTAGGGTGTCACTGCTGCTTCATCTGTTCAACCAACACTTCAAGGTGATTTTTCTATGTGTTCCGCCTAATTCAAATTTTATTTATTCAGCCAAAGCAAGTCTTCTGGAGCCACTCGTCCAAAATGTGAGAATCACATCTACTGCCAATTTTCACACAAGTGTTATCAGAAGTGAGAATTATAAAAAATCCTTAATACCAATTTTTAATTCAGTGAGTGATGTTATCACCGTTGATGGACCAGCTTTCGCCGAGTCTATTTCCGAAGGAGACATCAGATGGCTCAAGCAGAAGGGAGATCATGTCAACGAAGACGAGCTCGTTGCTGAGATCGAAACTGACAAGACCTCCGTTGAAGTGCCAGCTCCACAAGCTGGAACAATCGTCGAATTGTTGGTTGAAGATGGAGCTAAGGTCACCGCTAAGCAAAAGCTCTACAAACTTCAGCCAGGAGCCGGAGGAGGTTCTTCTGCTTCGGTTAGTGAATTTCCCTTATTTTTTGTGAAACGAAAATTGCTTTCAGCCAGCTAAGGACGAGTCTAAGTCTTCTGCTTCTGCCGCCGCTTCTCCAGCTTCTGTTAAGAACGATCCAGCACCTTCATCGGCTTCCTCATCATCAACGGCTTCCTCACCATCAAGCCCACCACCACCACCACATAAGCCAGCTGCTGGAGAAATTCCAAAGTCCGCTCCACCAGTCGCTCGTCCACCATCCACTCCATCTTCATCTACTCCAGTAGGTGCCGTTCCAGTCACCCGTGTCACCGTTCCAAAGGGAGTTGATCCATCACACGCAATCACAGGAGCCCGTGATGAGGTTCGTGTGAAGGCGAACAGAATGCGCATGCGTATTGCTCAAAGACTGAAGGACGCCCAGAACACATACGCCATGCTTACCACTTTCAACGAGATTGATATGAGGTTATTCTTTCGTGGAAACTGATTTTCTCAAAACTTAAATTTCTTTTGCAGCAGCCTTATCGAGATGAGAAAGACTTATCAAAAGGAGTTCGTCGCTAAGCATGGAGTTAAACTCGGAATGATGTCTCCATTCGTCCGCGCTGCCGCCTATGCTCTCCAAGAATCTCCAGTTGTCAATGCTGTCCTTGATGAAAACGAAATTGTATACCGCCACTTTGTCGATATTTCTGTCGCTGTTGCTACACCAAAAGGACTCGTTGTTCCAGTTTTGAGAAACGTCGAAAGCATGAACTATGCTCAAATCGAACTCGAGCTTGCGAACCTCGGAGTGAAGGCTCGTGAAGGAAAGTTGGCTGTTGAAGACATGGAGGGAGGAACATTCACTATTTCAAACGGAGGAGTTTTCGGATCTATGTTCGGAACGCCAATCATCAACCCACCACAAAGTGCCATCCTTGGAATGCACGGAGTATTCGATCGCGTTGTTCCAGTCAACGGAAAGGTAACTAATATCCATGTCTACTATCCCTGAATCACCATGATTTGTATTTCAGCCAGAGATCCGACCAATCATGCAAATCGCTTTGACCTATGACCACAGATTGATTGATGGAAGAGAGGCCGTCACCTTCCTCAAGAAGATCAAGACCGCCGTCGAGGATCCAAGGGTCATGTTCATGAACCTTTAAATTTTTCTATTCGCCTCATTTCTTTTTTCAAATTCTTCTCGGTTATCCTTTGCCCCTTTCACAAAGTCCTATTGTTTGGTCATTTGAACATTTTTTGAGTTTAGTAATAAATCGTAAAAATAGGTACGATGTCTCGCCTCTAGCCTACCATTCATTAATTTCGACTGTCCGTTTTTTTCTTTTATTGAATTCGATTCCTCAAATGTAGTTGCGATATTTCTGGATTAAACATTAAAAACCCTTTCTTCATGGTCAACACATTCTCAGCTCATTAGTTTGATCACAAAATACTTGATTCTGAGAGCAGTGATTAAGAAAAAAATTCAATGAGTTTTATTTAGTTTCCCCTTTCAGTGGAAGAGAAACATGCTGGTGAGTTTCGAAATACTTTAAATGTTTCAGGAAATTGAATTATTTAGAAACGGCCGGGAATGTTCACTCCAAACACAACACCATCTAAAATAGCCACGTGGACTGTTAATGAGACGACACCTAGAAAAAGAGGTCCGTCATTGGCTCTGACAGCGAGTCCAACGAAACAGATACAGAAGAGAAGGTTCTTAATTTATTTAATTTCATAATCAGCAAAATTTTTTACAGCGCATTTTCAAGAGAGCTCTTCAAGACATATATTTTCTTCGATTTGGAATGCACGGGGCTCATTAAGAACGATGACACTCGAAATTTACAAAATCGTCCGTTCGAAAGAAGCGAAGAGCACTATAACATCCTGAATCAGTTGTGCATAGAAAGTAGGTTCATTTCTTCTGTTTTCTTCCAGAAATTCCTTATTTTTCAGCTCGAAAAGACGAACTACCGTATATCACTGAAATGAGCTTCATGGCGATTTCTAGTGAAACTTTCGATGATTTAAAGGCCGAAAGAATGAAGAATCTGAAATGGAACGAAGAGAATCCGGATAACCAGAAAGATCTGGCAAAGTACGTTCCAGCGAATACTCATACAAGACAGATCAACCCAGTTTTGATGTCTGATGGAGAATGGGCTTCTTACGAAAGATTCAGATTGGCAGATCGGAGAGGTTCAACGAAAAATGAAACATTTAAAATAAAGTAAGTTTTATTTTTAGGAGTTTTGGTTCATTCGAAAAAGGATTGCCAGAGAAACAACTCGTTCAAAGAAGAGTGGCCAGCAGTCATTCAATTCTTCAACTCTTTTCCGAAACCAGCTCTTCTGGGTAAGATTCACTTTAAAAACAATATTCCAAGAATTCATACCTTCAGTTGGTCACAATGCTATAAAATATGACTTCCGAGTAATCTATGGTGAACTTCAACGAAACGACTTACTCGAGGATTACGGTATACCACCAGATGTCTACTTTGTCGATAGCTATTGGATGGCAAAAAAAGTCGAGGAAACAATTGTGAAAGAGCTCGTTACGGTGTGCAAATATATCAAGTTTCCAAAAAGTAATTTTTCATTCTTATTGTGAAAATTTTCATAGAGTTTTTTTAGTTCCAAAAGCCGAGGTAGAAGACGTCCTGTTGTTGGCTGAAGAATCGTGCAACGAAACTATCTTAGAACCATCAACTTCCGCAGACGATCATCCAGCGAACATTCTGGATTGGGATAAATTTTCAGTTTCTCTCCGCAAACGCATCCGAAAAGAGGGTTTCGTTAGAACCACGAATGGATGGACCTACAAACATGGCGATAACAAATTCGGTTTAGCTGCTCTCTACGAGCAGCTTGTTGGGGGGAAATACAGTGCTCACTATGCTCAACAAGATACCGAAGCACTGATGCACGTTTGCCTCAGCTACGGAAACGAATTCACTCAATATCTTAATGAGAATGCCAGTGCTGTTCCATTTTAATTCAATTTTAAATTTTTATATATTCTCTCTTATCTCCTGTACTCTCCATACTCGAAGATCTTACAATTAGTTAACTGTAATCCACGCAAAACTCATTCCTAGATACTTCTGGCATCTCACTTTTAATAAGTTTAATACAATGAATCGTATAAAATGTTTTTTTTTTTGAAAAAAAGACAACTTCAATTTGGTGTCTCAACTAGAGACCTTCCCTAGTTAGCTGAACGGGAAATGGTTTTGGTATCATGTTTTCAAACCGAATTTTTCTATGAAAAAAGTAAAGAATTTCGTTGTAAAAAGTCTAAAATATTGAAAACATTGGATAAGTAATCATTTCGGTAACTGATTTAGTAATCGTAATTCCATGAAAAAAAAACAACAACAATTAAATATGACGAAAACATAAAAATCGGCGGGTGGCCCCGCAATTATTGGATGACGCACTTGTTAGGCCTGTGGGGGCTTCATATAATTGGGCTCAAGTGGTTCAGTGGGTTTTGTAGATTTATAGAATAGAAGGAAATAAAAGAAAATAATTCCGATTGAACGATTTCTGTGGCGGTGGCTTCGACGATAGATTCGTTGTGGTAATAAGTGAAAATGTAACAAGTGAAGGGAGCTCCTTTTATACTAAAAGAGTCCGGTTCTGAAATGATCAGAAACAAATTGTCGGTGGCCGGAAAAATTGAAAGAATAATAAAAGATGTGAGGTAAACAGTTGATAAGGGATGAGCTAAGACTTGAAAAAAAGAAACACAAAATGGAAACATTGATAAAAAGGTAGGTGACAAAATTTAAAAATGAGGAAAACACAAAAATCGGCGGGTGGTCCTGCAGTTATTGGATGAGGCACAGTATACTTGCGTAATTACAACTTCAAGTTCTCGGCTAAAAAAAGATGGTGTTTTTATTATTTAGAAATGCGTTCGAGACATGCAGGAAAGTCACGAAAAATAATTACAAGAAGAAAAAACAAAAAGAAGGCGTTAAAAAGAAGTTCTGAATAAAAAAGGAATAAAAAACTAAACTTTCACACTGAATTCAGAATTTTTTTGAAAGACTCAAATCAAAAATGGGACGGGTAATCACTTGAGGGACACCATTTTCGTCAAGTCATATTTTGTGAACCAAAAAATCGAAGTCAAATGGACCCAGAGAGAGGAATGCTTTTTTTTCCGTCTGTAATTCGTTTTATTTCGACAAAATCTCGGTTTAGATAATACGTTACTGGAGAGGAACCAACGTACCTGAAATATTGAATAAATTATGGAAAAAGACAAATAATGATTGGAACCCTTACGGTATATCAACAACAAAATCAACTGGTCTCTTATCTGATTCATCCGGATCGTATTCCTCGATTTCGATCGCCTGCTTTATAAGAGCTTCATTTATTCTATGTACTGTATAAATGGATAACGTCTCCAGGTTATGATATGCTTCGTTCGAAATCCATTTACGTAGAAATTGAATGAGATCTTGTTCACTTAAAGTTATAGTGTTCAACCGTATGTTTCGACCGACGAAATTCTGAATTAGAAAAATTAAACTGATAATCAAAAAAAAACTTTACATGAAAGTAATCTGGTCCGCACGGACATTCTACAATAATGTTTTGGACTTGAAAAAATGGAGACTCTTTCGGTAGATCTCCAACAATTCTCGATTGGACATGTAGGTTCTGATGATCGGAATAAATTGTCAAGCTTTAGCCAAAAATTGTGGTTCAATAGTTTCGTCCTCTATCTCTATGTCTTTGACATTCGTAATATTTGGCAGACTTCCTTCACATTTCATCGATAGGTACAATTGGGTAGTTTCGGAGTAGAATAATGAACTGATATAATCTTGAAGAGTTCTCTGAACTGCCATTGGCTCGTTTGCACATTCCAGTCGGTGTAGAAATGTTCCGTCTTCCTCGCACCATGAATCGAAACTGAAAAATTTTAAAATTCAGCGTATATTGGATCACTCGAAAAATTAGTGGTTGAATGAGCAGTATCTGGTACTGTTACGACGATGTTCACGAGTCACCTTTATTGTTAGTACCTACAACAACTTGTTTTTCTGTTGAATGCGTTTTGCTATACTAGAACTATAATAAAACTGTGTAGTGAAAACTCACTTTGTAGCTGCTTTGTAATCAAGTCCAAGCTTAACAGTTACAACTTTTTTCAAGGCCAATTTGTGAACATGTAGCAATGACGTTACAGGTGACCATATATTATTAGCAGTGTTATTAATCACAACTCTAATCTTGAATTCGTTATACCCATGACATTCTTCGAGTCGAAACGCTAACTTCGAAATCTTCGTTCTTGCTTTTTTCACTAATAAACTGGTGCGACTGGAGCATATACTCAGTAGAATTTTTTCCTGGTAATCCAATTCAGTCACAACCAAGATGCCAACTACAGAAGTTATTGCGAGAAGATTGGTGGTCATTCTGAAAGGAAAAGGATTATGTATAATGACATTTTTTGTAAGATGACAAAAAAATCTGGAGGAGGGATAGAATTTTGCAAGAACCAATTATTAGGTTAGAAGGAAAGTAACTGTCCTTTGTTTTATTTGTGAATAATACAAAAAACTGATTATGCAAAAATTACCGTCGTGGTCCATACAAAACATGTTGCCATCATTCAGGTAACTTGTGGATACCATATCTCCAAGAGCTAGCTAGCCGCGAATCAAAATATTTTTTTTTTCAGTTTTTTCTCATAAGTGGTGAAAAATTCGTCACCCTCCAGATGGCGTTGTACATCTCCGAATAACCATTAATCTGATAGAGCCAAGTTGGGACTATAATTTGGTGAGGGAGAACCGTCCCATTGAAGCGGCTCAGGTCTGACTTGACTTCCGTTAAAAAATGCAAAACCTTATGTTGCACGGAAAGTCACTCCGTACCTGAGCCGCTTTGGCTGGTCCGTTCTCCTTTATCCCCGTGAAAGTCCTTCTATCAGATTATCAGTTAATCGGAGATATACAATGCCATCTGGAGCGGGAGGACTTTGACAAAATCGATGAGAAAAAATGCACCAAAGTAATACTTTGATTCGCGGCTAGCTGACTTTTACAGGGATGGTATCCACAAGTTACCAAAATGTTGACAACATGTTGTGGACCACGAGGGTACATACTGCTAATCTTGGATTAATCTTGCTTTTGTTTTATTTGTTTTATTTTTAAAAAAATGGACAGTTACTTTCCTTCCAACAAAATACCATCTTACTAATCTTTGAATTTTAATCACTTGGACTTTTCTTTTTGAGTGCATCACAATTTTCGTTTTCGAGGTCTTGGTAGGCTACCAAATCCTCAAAGCCAGGGCGTCAAATTTCTCGGTTTCAAAAAAAGATGTTCAGTATGTTGCAGAGATGAGCGGAATAAAAATTTTGAAATCCGGAACAAGGAATAAAGAATAAGGAACAGAATATTGTAAATCCGGAACAAGGAACACAATTTTCAGAAAATCGAGCTATTTTTGACAATTTCCAGAGAAAACATGTAGAAAAAGAATTTAGGATACATTAAACAGCATTTCAAGTGGTATTTCAGGTTCACATAATATTTAAAATTCAAAAATAAATTAACTGAAACTGTTCAAGTTTTCCGGAAGAAAGAGTCAAAAACCAGGAATAAGGAATAAGGAAGAAGAAATATGAAAGAAAAAAGAAAAAAAACAACCTGAAGGAAGAATAAGAAATTTTGCTCATCTCTGCTGGTATCAAATGATAAGTCTAGACGATTTCTTTCATAACAATAGGTAAGAGGCCGCATTATAGTCGATAACACGACATGGACAAGGCTAGATTGACGGAATAACCACAACTCTGTTTTGGAACATATCAATCGACCAGTATGAAATACGATCTAAAATGGATTGAGCTAATTAGCATGATTAGCATTACATAACCAAATCAAATCCTGAACATAAAATTTATTTCATGATTACACATTTACAGATTTTACAATATAGGAGGCATCGGCTTCTTTGGAAAGAGAAAATCTAATGAAATGTAGATCGGCGACACATTAAACATGGAAATACTTGATTCCTTTGGCACGGAGACGTGGAAGATGGATGGAGATGGCAGAGTACAATCCACCATTGCCGTCTGGGAACTAATTCCGTCTATCACCCTGAATTAGAAAAGCAACTCACTTCTTTTGATCGCAGTCCTTCGATAACCACCCAGTAGCACTCAAATTCTTTGATAACAAGGACTTACATATGGCCTGACTGATTTACTGTTCCGTATCCAAAATGAGCAAATTTGGGTGGTTCTGAGTCAGAAGTTCAGAACTTTTCTTTTGACTATAGATGGCTGTACAGCAGTGCTTCCAGAAAATTTCGAAAATTACTTCTTGGGTATTTTTTGAAACAAGTCAAAAATGCATTTTTTTTTCCAACAAAATGATGAAAATATGAATAAAATTTTTTCGAAAACTTAATAACACATTTTGAGATTCAGAGAGATCAGAAAAAAATCGTCTCGTTATTCACCATGTCTGAAAGTATATGTGTACCAATTTTCAAGAAATTCTCAAAGCTTGTCTGAAAACACCAACTGAAGAAGTACTTTTGGTCGAGATGAAAAACGAATATGTGAGAAATTTCACAGGCCATCCTCATCAGAAACTGCTTTCAATTTTTAATACATTTTACTGTTGGGATTATTTATCAAGGCGCAGGTCGTTTAATTTTTCTCCGGGTCTTGACACGAAATATAAAAATTTTTACCGTATACCCGCGCGTACTGTAGAAAATTTTCACACCGCGTGAAGCGATTTCTCACTGAAAGCAGCTTGCGACCGATTTGAAGTGCGTCTTCTACATTTTCCTCGTTAAATATGGCGGAGCAGATACAGATGAAAACCGTTGCCGATGTTAAATTTCCTTCAGTAAGTTTTTGAATCCAGTTCTTCCGAGTTTCTTTCGTTGCAGATCGTGTTCTCTCCAATCGCAACATCGTCGCCGAAACTGACCAGAATGCGCTTACCGATAAACCGTGATCAATCCTGGACGTCATCATCTGATGAATCTGTTGGCAATGTAACTGCTCGTATACTTACAGGAATCGACGAGTTACACGTGTAGGCGTTGTCTTATACTTTTTGAGTTGAGAAGGATTGAGTTTCAGAGACACATCAAAAATGGAAAATGAGATCGATACTTCTTCTTGTTCGATTCATACTGCACTCGAATACGTCCACCCCAAAGTTTTTCAAAAGAAGAGTTTATCTGAGAAAATCACTCGCGAAGAGCTTCGTTCGGCGATCGCCGCTTGCAAAATTTCGGAAGATAACTACACGAAAACTGAAGCCGATCTATATGCATTAGTGGTGAGTTTCGAAGTAATAAATCTGAACTCATTTTGAAAGTTTAGACTACTGAACGGATTCTGTGGAATGCCGGCCGAACATGGAGTGGGACGATGCCAGTCGAAAACAGAGATGATCTCAACAAGTATGCTAGAAATGCATGTGATGATTTCTATATGAGGTGAGTAAGAAAAGCATATAAGTTTTAAAGAGTTTTTGTACTTTCCAGGTGTACTGGCCAGCTTTGCATCGATGAATTTCAGCACATCAGTCATACTAGAGGTAGATACGATTTTCAATCAGTTGCTATCTACTGCTTCGAGAAAGGAATGCCCTCCTCAATTATCAGTAGAGTCTTCGCGAAAAATCTCGTACGCCGATCAACCGGTGAATACTTGGATGATATGGAAATGACATGGTTGCTATTCGCCATGGTTGGGACCGACGAAGTGCAATCTGTGGAGTACTGGTTCCGTGTACTAGATGTACACTGCACTGGCGTTCTTTCCGTCGCAGTTTTAGAAGAATTTTATGCAGACATCACCAAGTATCTTGCTCATGAGAACGTCGCATCTCTGCCGTTTTCAAATGTAATCGCACAATTTTCTGATATTCTTGGGACGCAACACTGGACATTGCGATCATTCAAAGAGAACCGGGAGCTTGTTTACCGTGTCATCAATGGATTCACCAACGCCTTTCGATTCCTAGAACAAGAAATAAACGAGAGTTAGTTTGATCGTTCAGTTTGTATAACTTCCCGATCCGTTTTGCAGAAACCAATGGTGAGCGTGTCGATGACGAAGAATTCGGACAGGGACAGCGAACGCGTTGGCAACGCTTGATCGACCACGAGTACGACGACTTCTATCATCAAACTCACTCTTCATCTACCGAAACTTCGAATATTACAGCTTAATTCCCAGCAGAACTAATACAATTTATTATCGTGTAAATATAATCAATCCCATCCCTTCTTTCTAAATGCTTGCCCCCCCCCCCCATCCATCAATATCTGCATCTTTCTTTTTTCACAGCACTTGTAAATTTTGCCGTTCCTTTCTTGTTTATGAATGAATGTGCCAAGAGCCTCTCCCTCGATTCACCTCCATCTTTACACCGCCTACGCTTGATTTTACACTGTCGAGAACGGAAGGCGTTTAAGGAGGCAATTACAAGACTAAAAACCGTGCCCGTTGTCTTGAAGATGTTGTAAAAGGTGATCTTTGACAGTGTGTCGTAAAACACAGGCATGGTTTTGCATACCAAAAGAAATGGTCAAACTTCAAAGAAAATTACTACAACCATTTTTTATATCAGCAGTTAAATAGTACAAAAGTTTGACTGAATGAACAATCTTCTTCTAACAAATAATCTTTTTTTTGCCAACGCATACAATGGCAGAAGACGTTCGGCTGAAGATAATGTTTCACTGATGCGTATGTCGTAACACTGTCGCCCTCGGCAAAATCGTTTACGCTGGTGGCGCCATCAGCTTCTTCTTTCCCTCGTTTTGCAATCTTTCATTTTTTGTAGTGGTGATGGCTACTAGCAGCTTCTCCTTCTTTTTCTTCTTTATTCTTCGTTGTCTTTCTTTTTTCCATATTCTTGGTTTGTTTTCTGTGTTGCGAAGATGGCATTTCCATCGACACGGGTTGAGACAAGTTTAGGTGGAAGCGCAGGGAATGGAGTGACCTGGAAAAGGGCAGTTCTTGTATTACTCCTTGTTTTATTGTTTTGCCTTGAAGAAGAAGAAGAAGTGCAATAATAAAAGGATACAATTAAAAGAGTACTTTTGTTCTTCATCTCTCATCGAGACTGTATTGTTTCGAGTGAAACCAGTCGGTCATTACTTTTCAAAGGGACCCTCAGAAGTCGTGATAATTCATTGTTATTCGCGGAATGGAATTTCCCCTCCTATTTTACGTTTCGTCACTCTCAATTGTTTTGGCTGATCTGATACTTGATTCGTCATCATGCGGTTTTTGACCAATCCAGAACGTTCGGCTAATTTCGAATAATTGGAATTGACTCAATTGAGATTGTTTTGACGAATCAACCCAGTTCAGATTGTTTCAAATAGTCGAGATCCGTATCTGGTTGTTTCTTTGTGACTGTAGGGTTACTGTAGATCCTAAATTTTTTATCCGATGTTTTTATTTCACAATCCGAATCTCTCTGGAAGAGTGTATGAGAAGACTGATCAACTTTTCTTTCGTTCGTATTCTTTGTTTTTTCTCCTCACATCATTATCCTCCTCACCACGCAATATACATCCAATCCAGTACCAATTATTTCTGAAAACTATTTTCCTCAATACTATCTGCAATAACTAACACTACTAGATGTCAGAAATCGCATTTCTCACCCAATCCATTTCAGCTCATTCCGTTTTTCATCCTAGTGTCATTTCCTGCCAAGTGATCTGATTGTGAGGGGGCGAAGGAGAGACTTTCACTTGCGGTTGCCTCACACCGAATATTTTTTCTTGTTTTCTCTAGATTTCCGTAGAGGTGATGAGAAAATCGTCTGTATTTTTGTGACGTCTTCTTTTCACTTCTTCTCCCCTCAATGTACCTTCGATTCGTAGGTTCGGTGGCATGGCGGTTGCCATGTCGATCTCACCTTTTATCTTCACTTATGTCGGAAATTTATCTTCTGATGATAAATTCATAAAATTGTAGTTATGAATTTTATGAATCAGCAAGCAGAATCTCTGTATCCTATTCCAAAGGGAAGTCACAGTTCTCTGATACCGTATTCCCCCCTAATAGAAGCCCGCCCAAAGCATCAACTTTGAATTCAATTATCTCGATTCCTGTGATTGATATCAAAAACTTGTCAACTGGCAAAATGTTCATCATAATATCACCTATATTTTATTAATTGACAACGTTTTGATATCTTTCACTGGAACCGAGATAATTGAGCTCAAAGGGATTATATTAGAAGAACAACAGAATTTTATAGAAATCATTATTGTGTTTTTTCAAAAACCTATCTCTATTTAAACTGATCATTTTTCTGATAACAATTTCTTTTTTTCTGTTGGAAAAATCCTTTTCTCATTATTTCAGTCTTGTCAAATCTAAGATTTTTATGGAAAGTCTAGACCGACCAATAACCATATACATTTTTAATAAATGATATCAATTTTATGATTTCCTGATCTAGAAATAAACAATATCTGCGCCTTCCCCCCTTGGTAATAATGAAACATAACAAGGACAACACTATTGCGAAATGTAGTTTGTAGCCGTAGCTAAACATGAGGGATTCTCTCTTTCCAATCCTCGCGTTCACTCTATTTCTCAAAACGAACACTATGCTTTTTGTGACTTAATGACACAAAAAACCCCCGAGACCCTTCAAAATTTTTGTGACTTTTTTATGGCTTTGCGGAGGTGTGTGGCTCTCGGAAAATATGAAATCCTAGAAAGTAATAAATTTTATGCCATTTTTCAATGCCTCGTTTCCAAATTCCTTCCTGGAGCCTACCGTACTCCATTCAGATTTCTCAAATTCCCATTTCCTGGTTCTTTTTTTTTCTTCTTTTCTTCATCCACCGAAAAATGTATAGTTTGTATTCAAAAAGTGCGAAAGATGAGCTTAACGACGGAGAAGCCTTTCTTAGCTCAGACCCCGAGATGCTCATTAATTTTTGACAGGGGACCGCTTGTTCTCGAAATTGAAAGCGCTTAGGATAGAAAACAAAAGCGGAGCGTATTTAGATTTCTGGTTTTGGCAGACAAGGTTGATGCCCGTTTTCGGAGTCTAGAAAAGTTTAATAGGTCCGAAACAAAATAGTTTTATTTACTTTTTATTGAAGAATTGAAGAATATTTGGCCAGAATTTAAAAATTACATAGGAAAAATAGTTTTCGTATTTAAACTGAAAAAGTTCGCTATTTCGGTCTTCCTGTTTTTTAACTGTACTGCTTCAGTAGAAATCCACCAAAACCGTCCACTTTGAGCACAACACAATTGTCTCGGTTCCTCTAAATGATATCAGAAAATGTTTAACCGATAAAATATTTATCATAATATCACAATATTGTATCAGTTCACAAACTGTTTATATCTTTCATAGGAACCGAGATAATTGAGCCCAAAGTGCACATATAGGGTGGGCTTCTATAATAGGTCTTAAAGTCCGAATCCATTTTTTGCTCACACTGTGAATTCCTCGTGTTTTCCTTTAGCTCAAAGTAACCACTTTTCAACTTAACCTGTTTGAATTTGTGTATTGACATGTGCTCATTTGCCACTTTCTTCCGATTTGAAGGGAGTCTACACAAATACACTAGTTCGTTCAGTTGTTTCGGAGGGGCTCCCGTGTCAACACACTCCATCTTTTCGTCCTTCTAGGCTACCACTTTATGATGACTAAAATTTGTGCCCTAGAAAAGAAGAAGGGGAAGAAAAACAGTCCCGCCTCTCTCATCCACTTTTCACATCGGAAATTACTTTTTACCATAGAAACCACCCCTCTTGCTTTTCCTTTGCCATATGATAGCTATTCCTCGTGGTAGCATTGTTTTTATTCTTTTTTTAACTTATCCATTAGAACAGACATTCAAGTATAAATTATATTACATCTGAAAAGTGCGATCTCGTGAATTTTGACCGCATGTGTCCTTTTTTATTTTTCTATACATCTTCTTTGTACCAGTGTAAAATCTGGTTCTCATTTCCTCTCGTTTTTATTATAGGTCATTTAACCAAATTTCGTTCTCTGTAATTTCGTTCTGTGACATCAGTTTCTTTTTCTTTGTCTCTTTTTACTGTATTCGTGTGAAACCTGAAAGTTTCAGGATGGACAGTTCGAGTATAAGTCGATGGTTTGAGTATGAATCGGGTCATGCGTGGTGTGAAAGTGCCTACAAATATCAGACGTTACCGTATGTTGCAGAGTTCGCAAACACAGTGAGTTTTTAGAAAAAAAGTACATAGACAAGACATTTAAATTGCTCTTTGGTTGGTAAGATTGAAATACGGCATTTCAAAATTAGAATTTCAAAGAGTTTGGCTTCTTAGATTTGATTTTAAGAATCAAAATATTAAAACTCTGCACAAATTAATCGTATACGGATAAGGCCATCAAACATTATCACAAAAAAAGCAGAAGATTCAAAAAGTCCAGATCATATGATATGGGAGGTATGAGCGGAAATCGAATATGAAATGATCACGGTTTTTGAAAATTCCTTAACGGAAAGATACCAGAAACAGGAAATTGGAAAAGCCAGAATGAGCACATGCTGGAGATTCTAGTAAAAAAGACAACGTTGCCTGAATACCTGGTGGCAATTACCAGGACTGAAAATCGGGTATATCTTCAGACATATCTTGGAAGGATGAAAACAAATAATTGGAAACTTGGCCAGTTTACTGAATAATTCTTTGAGTTTTCCCACTCCAAATTGGAGCCAAGTAGAACGCTTTATTCGTATGTTATGATATTACAAACTTGAGTCCCGGTAATTATGCGCCACCCTTTACGCCAAACAAATACAAGACAGAGCTTTGAGATTCCAAGAAACTTGAGATTCCTATGGATGACATATTTAAAACTTTTTCAGTGCACGAATCTCCCAATTATCGTTCTCCCACTTGTCAATATTATGCTCCTCCGAAGATACCTCCATGACGTAAACGGCGGTCTCGTATTCCCACAACTCCTGTTAACATTTAATGGATTAGCATCCACCTATTATCATGCCACACTCAACTTGTTCGGTTAGTACCTTATATTTTCTGTCATTATCAAAACTTTTTTTCCAGGTCAACTGGTTGATGAGCTTTCGTTGGTGTGGATCATCACAGTTTTCCTTGTAGTCTATATTCCGGTTATGAAGTGGTTCCCAGAACGATTCTCGAAACGATTGTACGTTTTTGACAGACGTCTACATAGATTTTCTAATTCATTATCAATTTCAGAACTGTGGTCCGATGGGTGGTCCTGATTGTAACTGCCGTTGTTTCTGCTCTCTGCTTCTTGGAACCAAATCTTAATGCAATCGCTCTGATGCTCTTTTCCATTCCCGCAGCAGTTGTTATCAGATACGAAGGAAAACAGTTAGTCTCTCCACACATTGTTCTGTTTAGAAATCAATCAATTTTGCAGGTCTGGAATCCCAGACATTGAGAACTTCCCGAGCAGAATTCTTGCTCTCTGGGGAGTCGCATTTTCCTTCTGGTTTGCTGATCGTCTTCTCTGTGACTTCTGGCTTTATCTTGGTGAGGAAGTAATAGAGAGCCTTTTGAATTCCATGAATATAACAGGTACCCCATATCTCCATGCCTTGTTCCATTTGCTCGCCGGTCTTGCCGGATACACAATTTTCATCATGTTCTCAATGATTGATATTGAAAGTCGATCGAAAACTCATAGATACACTGCTGCCGTTCGTTATTTCCCGGATAAGAATGGATCGATCTTCTCATTCCCATACATTTCTCTCAAAGAGCGTTCTCAGTAAGTGATAGTGATTGTATACATGTTCTTGTGATAGTTTTGTGTTATCTTGTTTCGTTGTTCTGTGCAATTTAAATGTCTTGTCCATGTCCATAAATGTGTATAAAGCTGTGATTATCTGTTTTGAGCATTTTTTTTGCATCTAAATAATTTTCAGCAAAGTGGACGTTCCAATTTTCGACTCGAATGGCAACACGAAAACTGTTACGGATGATATCCCAACATGACAATTCAGTGAAATCTAGCTCCAATTTTTACAATTTTTTTTCAATTTCTTACAATTTCACTAAGCTCTTCAGCTTTAAGATGCCTCATTTTCCTCCCGTTTTTAGTTCCTCCCAGTTGTCTGTCTATAGAGTATTTCTTGATCATTTTCCCCTCCATCTCCATCGAATTGCCATAAATATATATGTCATCTGTTGTTTTTAATTATATAGATCAAACCATGAAAAGCATGGAAAGAAGAGAACGGAGAGAGATTCTGAGAAGCATACAATTGGATCATGTTTTTCTCCTCCCATATAAACTGGTCCTAGATCCTGCGAATTCTCTTTAGTTCCCAATAATCTCTCAATCTCTTCTTCCATTCTCAATTCGTCTTTGTTTCAAACCGCCATGCCGTGTCCATGTGGTTAGTTCTATTATCGAGAAGATTCTTAACATTTGTGCAAATTTCAAAACTGGATAGTCTAAATAATGTCATCGATTTTGATCATTTTCTGGAGTCTGAGGCTCGGCTGTCAAGCTTCCGATCACTTTGAAAATTTTGGAGGGTGTGAAGCGGACCTATATTGAGAACTTTAAATTCATAGAATTTTCAGAAAACTCCTAATTTTCAAGCTATTTGCCAATTTCTGAAAGACACCAGTTTTTTTCATGTTTTCAGTACAAAAACGGGTCAAAAAGGGGGTCATTCAGACATCAGCAAATAGCTGAAAAGCTATAGCTTATAGGAACTTTCAAACATTCTGTGAAAGTTTCTAATCTAGGTCTGTTTTATACCCTCTAAAGTTTTCAAAGTGTTAGGAAACTTGAAAGCCGAGCTCCAGACTCCTGACAATGGTCAAAATCAACTGAAAAAACGTTTCTCATTGTCCGGTACTGTAATTTTGAACCTGTTCCAAATCAAACCTGATTGATAAAAATCTATAATACTAAATTTGGTGAAACTGGTAGAGAGATACTTGGCTGTCAGCTGGTAAATTCTGGTAAATAGTTGGTAAGGGTTCGGCGGACCTAGCCAGGTTTTGGTTGGATATTGCTCAAAAACGGCTGTCTAGCGGATCATGGTCAGATTTTCGGTCGGAAGTTGAGATACAAACAAGTTGGAGCCTTGTCATATTATAAAATTGTCAGGATTTGATCCGCTTTAGTAGCGGTCTCAACGGAGGCGAGACAGCAAAAATTTCGGGGGCAGTTCGGGGGACGAAATCGCGCCGCGCTTATGTAGACCATCGGTAGTCAGGCGCCTTCGCGCCCCCGTAGCTCAGCCGGTAGCGGCGCTGTACCCCTGAGCTGCCTGTCATGAGTTCAACCCCTCATGGGGGTTCTCTATGCAAAATATCAGGAAAACTTTTTTTGGTGTCTGGCCTCCTTTAATTGGAATCTGGCCAACTGCTGACCAAAAGTTGCCTCATTTTTTGGAAGTTTTCCGTTACAAATCTAGGTTAATGCTTTTTTTCTTGCTTCAAAAGGAAGAAGTTTCGACTCATCGATGCCAAGTGTGCAGAGTTTAAATAACCCTCCAAGTGTCCAAACCTCTATTCAAACCATTTTTCTCTTTTTCAGCTTGCAAAAACTGCTCATGCGGAGCTAACTGTAAATGCACAACTGACAAATGTTGCTGTGTAGAGGAAAAGAAGTCATGTTGCGGTGGAAAAACTGAAACAACGGCCGAGGAGAAGAAATAATTTTGAGCATTCTTGAACTTCAACCCCAACTCCACACACCCTACTAAATTCTATTCCGATCTATAATTCCTTCATTATCGCTTTCTTTTCTGATGTTTCAATTATAAAAATATTATTCCAAACGGAACGAAACACGTGTTGAATGTTGTGCTAGAAGCGTAACAACCAGTTGTACATGGTCAATAACTGATAAAAGCAGAAACTAGAACTGTGATTTGCAGAATGAAAATCTGCAATCCTACACTTTAGCCATTCAAAAACAAACAAAAACACGCTGTGAGGATGGAAAATAGCTTCAGAGCCAGAGAGCAAACTCACATACGTTATTGTTTTTTGACCTCCTAAAATCTTATGATCCTGCCCCGTTTGTACATTGTGACAGCAGCAAAAAGACCACCCCCTTTTATCAAAAATTTTTAAGTGTAAACAACCTAAAATTAAGAATAAAAAGGAAGCAAAAACAAGGAACAAGTAGCTCAGTTTGGCTGAAACAAAGTATCATCATGGGTTGTAAGTGTGGTAAGCTCTTCTTTTTTTAAGTGTTCATTTCCAGAACGTTATTCGAATTGTTGCACTCTGACTTCCGGTACAGAATTCATTTTGTCTAGGAATCCTGAAAAAAATTTTAGAAAGCAATTTTTTTAAGTTACCATTCTTCAAAATTCCAGACTGCAAAAACAAGCATTGCAAGTGCGGAGATAAATGTGAGTGCTCTGGAGACAAGTGTTGTGAGAAGTTCTGTTGTGAGGAAGCCAGTGAGAAGAAGTGCTGTCCAGCTGGATGCAAAGGAGACTGTAAATGTGCCAACTGCCACTGCGCTGATCACAAGCAATGCGGTGACAAGACTCATGCTCATCAGGGAACTGCTGCTGCACACTAAACCATTGAAAAACTGTTTTCAATTTTGTAAATTTGTAATGATTCCACATTTCCTACTAAACCTTGAATACTCCTACTAAATTTTTGGTTTTGAATAAATACTTTCTGTAATTGCAGTTCGATGAAGAAATAAACCACAATTTTAATTAATTACGACAACTTGTGTTTCCTTCTTGGATGAATTCGAAGATTGCAAAAACATTCTTGAATAGAGTTTTATGATAACTAATAGTAAGAATATCAGCTGGAAGCTGGTAAAGACTGTAGTTTCGTCTCTTTCGAACTGCAACATATTGTCGGAACATCCAATTTTAAGAACACTTGTTGCATTGAAAAGTTACTTATTGTTAGAAGCGGAAGTGACCAAGTTGAAAACATTCACAATGTGCCGAATTTCAGACCTTTACCTAATTTTTGTAGATCGAGATCTACATTTTATCAAGCATTCCGTAAAACCTGTGTTAGACCTGTGTTAGACGAGTTTCTTTGATAAGAAGGTCCCTCGAACCTCCTGGAATTATACATTTCAGTGAAAAATAGGCCGGAAATTCTCCAATTTCCTTTCCGGATTGTTGAAAAACGTTTTTCAAAATTGCTCAATTTTAGTGAAGCTAATATACATTTTCATGAAGTTCCAACAAGATTTTATCGAATTTTTGATGAAAGTCCGGAGAAAATCATCCTATTTAAAAACCCCTGTAATAGAAGCCCACCTGTTTTACCTTGGAACAATAGAAGAACCCCTTCTAGTACTGATTTTGTGATATATTTCCTGGGGCACATTTCTATTTTTTTTCACTCTCATCTAAATTCCTGATTTGCAATTTCTCCCTGGATCAATCTTCGTCGAAAAATATTTTTTGATTTTTTTTTCGAATTCTATTCAGTTTTAAACCATGATTTTACCTATCCACTAATCTGCTTGTTTGGAAAAGTAGGTAACATGAACAGCGGGGTTGGTTGACAATACTTTTGTTCTTCTTTTTTTTTCACTAATATCTAGAAAATACGAGGAAAACTCTTTTCTTCCTAGTGTTAGTTTCGAAATATTCCAATTTATAAACCCGTTATACTCAGGTAATTTTCAGGGAGTCATCCAATGAGCATATGAGAGACTCCCTGAAATATGGGAGTAGCCCAAAGGTTAAGGGAGTTACGCTTCGCATTTGGGAGTTTCCCGGTTCGGAAGGTTGATAGGAGCTAAACAGGATCTCCCATGTACCGGTTTGCTCCCATCAACCTCCCGAACGGGGTAACTCCCAAATTTGAAAAGTGATTCCCTGAAAGTTACCCGAGTAGAGATCATTCCAAATCTTACTATTAATCCAATAATAATAATTCAATTAACCTTTAGTGAGGACCTAAAAATAGTCATAAATCTTTGATCATGTCAAAGGTCTTGATCATTGACGTCATTAAAAATGGATTTTGTCAGTAGCCTCACAACTGAAAAGACCAAAAACTGTTACTCTCGTCTACATAGAAGTGCTACGTTCACCGTTGGATAATCGCTCGAGTTTTTTTTTTCTCAAACATCAAAATTTCTTTCAACTTTGTAAAAATCAAACAATCATCAATGTTTCCTGTGATTCACTTTTAAAAATCATTGTGTCTATACCTGAATGTAAACTTTTGAAAATCAAATTGTCCTATTAAATTTTATATGTTTGTTGAATGAAAAAATCGAATCATCACAAAAAATAACCAGAAAACATTGAAAAAACAAAGAGAAAGTTTTACATCAATGGAACAAACAGATTAGTGTCTCTCACGACTCTGGTCATTTTTCGGGTGGACAATTCTCGTCATTTTTTTGACCTTTTTGTTCATCCAGAAGAACGTTTTCTCGCATACTTCTGATTTGTAATCTCAATTCGGCGAATACATTCTGATCTATGATGGCGTTGTGATTCTTTTTTTCGCGTAATAGATATCTTTGAATTGGAGGGGAAGTAGAAGACTTGTTCTTTACAAATTATCATGTCATCAAAATATATAGAAAATTTGGTGGGGAGGAGACAATAGAAATGATAGAATAGGTCGAGACTGTCTGTTACTTTTGATTCAAAATCAATTGATCTACATCTTTTCAACTCGTCTCAAACTTTGATGATTTCAGTAGACGAAAAGTTTCATTTTCACATTTCTTGAGAAACTCTTTTTGAAATGTCACTAAATCGTATGAATACCGTAAAACCTCTAATAGAACGACACCCGGAACGTCCACTTTGAGCCTATATATCTCA